CTATTTTGCAAATTAATTAAAGTTGCTGCCGATGTTTCAACACCGCCAAATCTTGCCAAAAAAAGGTCCTTAAATTCAGCCCAAGTCATTCCAGAATAACACACCTGAGATAGCCAGGAAGACGCGGTTCCTTGAAGAGCCTCACTAAGTGCGATAATAAGGGCACTGCCTTCCAAGGGTCGTTCCGTTAAACACATGTCCACCGTTGAGCACCAAGCGGTGGGATCCGCACTTGAATTTTCCGGACAGAACTTAGGTAGCGAAACACTTCGACTCACTGAGGATGGTTTAGTCACTGCTTTCATTAACTCCACAAGATTTCGATTTTGCATTTCTAGCAAAAGCCTGAATTGATCAGAGAAAAGTCCCGTAGACGATCCAGATCCCACTTCTGATGTCGGAGTCGTAGACCTAAGTTGGGCAGTAGCATCACCGTTCGTTTCACTCATCATCACAAAATAATAAGGAACACCGTATGTACTCGAGATGTTTATGATAACAACCAGAGGCTCGATAACGAATCCGCGGTCGACAGAATAGCAGTGTCCTTCCGTCTTCAAATGCCCAAGTGGAACTGCTCTCAGTATCTCCCCGGATACTTCCCTTTACTCGTCAGGTCAAAATTATTCTTAAAGGAACCAATCAAATTCTTTATCTCCTAGGGATTCCCTTATAAAGTAATTATAAGGTGAATGCCATATATTCCTTGACCGCGGCTACGTTGAGTGACCCTTAGATCTCCCCGAACCCAAGCTTGCCATCACAAAACTGGCGAAAAAAATAAACAGCTTAAGTAGTAAATAACTATTTTTATTTATCTAGGTACAAGCTATAAAAGGTCTATAGTAAAGTATTTGAAATTCCCAGAGTCTGAAGGACTCGGTCCGTGAGAAAGACATCTCCGACATATATATATATATTATTCTTTTTCTCGTAAACGGTTCATTTTATCGACAATAAACAAGAGTACCTTTTTTTAGTCTAAGGTTGAAGTTACCCAGATATATTATTTTAAAGTCTTTATCATACAGGGTGTTACATATTTAGGCGTTAAATTGTAAAGCTTAGACCGCACCTGGTAGACTAAAAAAGCTAAATATGGCTCAAGGACACTATTTTAAGAGGTCCTCACTAGTGTCCATCACATAAAATTTGTATTAAATTATATTAAGTGTTTTAAAAGTTATTGAAGAAAAACAGATTTACAGCGGCGTCCTTCAGGGTCACATATCTTCGAAGGGAGGGCCTGTACAAAAAAATTTTATAGGAACTTGTAATTTTATTTTTTCATGTTCTATCAGCACCCACATATTCCCAGACATCCTGTAGTAATTAATAAATTAAAATTATAACAGTAGTCTCCAACAGGATATCATTCAAGAAAAGTTTGGTTATGGTTTTGAACAAACTTTGTGCCATGTATTTTCATCAAGAAACAAAAGAGTAGTCGCATATTTAGTGCAGCGCCGCTTTGAAATACGTGTTTTTCTGGCTAATTTGCATAAGAATCGCCATTTTAAATAAATCTTTATATATCTCCCGATTAACGCACTGTACGAAAAAATTAAAAAAAAACAATTGTTTAGAAAATTTTATCTCTACAACTTTTACATGTCTCTGAAATTCTCAGTACCATTCAAGTTATTCGCGAAATAAGTTTTTTGCAGTTTTCGGCCATTTCCAGAATTTTTCCGGTACGCTCCCGGGCAGAACATTTTTTTCCCTCATCTACTAGCAAAATACTAGTTACGTGCAAAAATTCGGAATTACTGCCATCTCAAAATCTCCAGCAGATGTTTCAGGCGGCATTTTAAGACTTGATTTTTAATTTTTTATTTTCAGAAATTGAAAATTGCACAAAATCTGAAAAAAAACATTTTTTTGGCCCCGAATGCGTGCTTTGTGCTTTTATTAATTATTTAGAAATCAACGAGTTGAGCGAAAATTTCCCTAACATGGTAGTATCTTTAAGGATTTTGTTAACCATTCCTGTGTCTGTGACCAGAGGGGAACGTTTTTTTTCAAAATTAAAAATTATAAAAAATTATTTACGTATTATAATCAACCATAGCGCAGGAACGGTTAACAGACTTAGCAAATCTTGCTATCGAGAAAGATATAACAAATAATTTGGTATACGCTGATATTATTGAAGACTTTGTTAATGAAAAATGTAGAAAAGTTGATATGTGATATGTGGAAAGATCCCGTTTTTACATTATTTTGTTTCTTTCTTGTTTTTATTGAATATTTTTTATTTTTGATTTTATTGGAATATCTGTTTTATTTTTTATGATATGTTTCTTATAATTTCTGTTTGTTTTTTGCTAAAATATTTATTTATTTATTTTTGTCTATTGAAATGATTTTTTTTTATTTTTATAACTTTTTATTAATAAATTTGTTATTCCAACGGGTGGTAAGCAAATATTTGCCGGCGCCGCACTATGTATCATTTTTTTTTGTTTGTACAAAAATCAAATATCTTGACTCAGACAGTAGATAAAAATATGGGCCTGGTTGCAAATGAAAGCTGAAAGAATGTAGAATATGGAAAAAATATGACTAGGACGATTTTTTTTCTATATGACCTTCGAATGACTAGGCAAAGTCTATGCAACCCAAAAATTTTATGGATTTTTCTAATTATATCGGTCCTAATTCTCTTAAAATTTATTCCAATGCACACGATTTTGCACAATTTGGCACGGCAATTCCAAATCTGGCGTCAAAAATTTTCTAACATTTTTCTAACGCTAGCAAAGTCTCTCCAAAGTCGGTATTATTTTCAAACTGCTTTTTGACACTGTTAAGCAAGAAATTTATTCACAAATTAAAGATTAATTATCAACCTGGGTTTCTGTTTTTTATTTTACAAATAAATGTCAAATAAACACACTGTAGAAGGTAAGCAGTGACTTATAGATATATTTTTTTTAACGACGAAAAAAATACAAAATTAATAGATACAATCTATACAATTGATGGGTATTACCACTCTGCTTAAAATAAATAAGTGAATCTTTAAGGTAGCTTTCTACCTTGAAAAACCATTTTTATTTTAACATCTACGCTAATTTGGGTTTGTATTATTCCTTGTACTTTAAAAAAGGATGCTTTTCCCAAATTTTGAGCTATTTGAATACAAGTGTACCCAAGTTATAAGAGATAATGTTCTTTTTATTAACAAAATAGAATTTTCGATAAATTATTTTCATTATTACATATTCTACTTGAAACATTTTGTCACTATTTGGCCTAGAAACGGCTATTTTTCGCATGAAAACTATTTAGAAATTGTTTTAAAGATCAAAAATCAAAAATCCGAAAAAACAGTTTTTGTATGTCATTCGTAGAATATATATATATATATTTGGGTAGAGAGCTATCTTCAGCAAGAAAAAAAGCAGATTAATATCCCGTTCATTAATTTTATTTCACAAAATACACATATGCCTGTAAATATATGTTTGGTGATGAAGTGCTTATAAGGGACATTAATCGATTAAAATAATATAAAATTGTATATTGACATGCGATAAAGTGAATTACGGTAAACAGCTCAGTTGCTATTACAGTGTTAAGTCCAATTTGACTACAAGCATTGATTTTTTTTTGAAAATGTTTGACGCCAGATTTGGAATTGCCGTGCCAAATTGTGCAAAATCGTGTGCATTGGAATAAATTTTAAGAGAATTAGGACCGATATAATTAGAAAAATCCATAAAATTTTTGGGTTGCATAGACTTTGCCTAGTCATTCGAAGATCATATAGAAAAAAAATCGTCTCAGTCATATTTTTCCCCTATTCTACATTCATTCCGCTTCCATTTGCAACCAGGCTCATATTTTTATTTACTCTCTGAGTCAAGATATTTGATTTTTGTACAAACAAAAAAAATGATACATAGTGCGCAGGCCCTGACCTCCAGTAACTGGACTACAAACAATCAGCATTTCGAATAACTTAAGATTCACTAAGATAAATAAAACAGGACTAATATTCCAGATGCAAAAAACCGCTAGTACCATCTGCGTTTCGTCTGGGGAACATCGCAGGCCCCCCGACGAATAACAGATGGCGCAGCTAATCTAATCTCCCCCTAATATATAAATGTAATTCTTTTATTATTCTTTAGCGCCAACACCTCGAGTTAAGCCTACAAATCGAATGATCATCGCGACTTTGGCGCCGCTTGTGTATGCGAATAAGTATCGGGGAAGTTTTATTAGAAATGGTAATGAGATTTCTTTTATGAATTCCCTAGTAACTTGGTAGGGGCGTCGTATAAGGGAAGTATGTGTGTAGGGCGAAGGGAACACCGGAGTCGTCAATATCATCGGATATATCTCATTCCAGGTATTTTTAGACATATATTACTTTACGAGATTGGAAATAGGAGATCTCCCGCCGGTATACACCGAGAGAACAGTTCTTTTTAATAAAATGACTGTTTCGGCGTTGTGTTACATGTTACAGAATTAGAATTAATAGCTTTTGCCTTAACTATAATAAATATTTATATACTTTAGAGAGATGAATTGCTGCACCAGTGACCCAATTTAAATCCTATTTGATACACGTATCTTTCATCTACCTGTAATTCGTAAAACAAAAGAACTGCAAAACTCGATGAGTGAGTTGATCATTGAGCCCCAGAAATAGCAGCACGTAGTTGTCGGTTGAAAATCGATAGCAGGCGAAGGCACTTCTTCACATAACACTTGCCACTGATTAGTTAAGTGGTGTTTTGATCTTTTATGTTTACGAGGCTTGAAGTGGTTGGAGGTACGGGCTTTTTCGTGTCGAGTGTGTACGTACCCTCTTCGTTTCAAGATGGACATATATTGATTATAACTATGTGATGGCAATAAGCCGTGCGTAGCGGCGTAGACATAGATTTCAATATACAGGGTGGGCTCTTGAAAACGAAACAGTGCGAATAACTCTCAGAACATTATTTTTCCCTAAACATCTTAATAGGGAAGGAGGGTTAAGTGACATATTTGAAAAGTATTCTAATTCGCTACACAACCGTGTTTTATTTTGTGAATTTGACCGATTACTTTAGGAGATACAGGTTGTTAATAAAAAAACTGCTTTTTACAAATTTATTTGCAAATTACTACCATGTCAGTCACTTAAATGTTCAAATTGATGACCTCCAGCCCCCATACAGTAATATGTTTTGTAAAAAGCGTTCACGCACATTGAGTAACATTTCTGGAGTAACTTAGCGGCATTCGTTGACAATGCGTTGACGTAGATCTTGAAGGGAAGTAGGTAGAGTGAAATAAATTTTGGACTTTAAGTGACCCCACAAGAAAAGTCCAAAGGAGACAAATCTGGCGATCGTGCAGGCCATTCTAGAGCGTAGTGTGGGGGGGCTCCTTCCTGTTGGAATATCTATCAATTGGTCTTCAAGGCAATTCTCATTATTTTATCAAT